AATTCATAACCATTCTCACACTGATTGGTTCACAGAAATACGCTGATGGTTATCGTACATTTACCAGTATTTTCTTAGGATTTCCTAGTCCTGAATGAATATGATCAAAAATCCAAGCTATTTTTTTTAGTCGTATTTTGCAACTAATTTATGGAATCGTTTGGGTATGAATTATTTACTGTTTTAAGTCTAAATTCACTGTGCTATTTATTTCTAACCCCTTAACGCTACGTGTGGTTTGGTTTAATATTCTACTAATATAATAAATCTTTTATTATTTATTTTTCGTTTCTTTTAAAAATTCGAACAGTTTCACGCTGACATCCAAAACTCAAAAATACGCCAATTGAAATAAATATAAATAAAATCTGAATTTTGTCGAAAAATAATATGTTCATCCTTGTATGAGTCTGAAACAATAATCATATTTTGCTAAGCGGTACCTGGTGACAAAGTTGATTAGGCAGTTTTCAAAAAGCTATCTCGGAATACGTTTTGCCCAATTTTTTTAAATGCACCTACGCGTATGCCATAAGCGCAAGGATCCTGTAGAAGATATTTATGCAGAAGCTTCGAACTTCAACGTTAGCGCCTTGTATTACAGCGTGTTGCGACTACCATCGACATCTTGTAATAGCTACTCGGTGTGTATTTATTTTTCCATTTCCATCCGTTCCCACTTTGGAAGTGTGTTTTGAGACATTGTATAAATTTCAGTTCCTTGTGGCGAAGAAAAATCTCACATTTTCATTCTGCATGAAGACATGTAATCAGTTGGTAATAGAAAACAAATATTTATTATCGTAATATCCTATAATTCATTATGGAGCCATTGAGAAAAGTACTTCTAAATATTTCTTAGATATATATATCAAATATGTGATATAAATATTATATTGTACACTGACTTGATTGTACACCCAAGAACAAGGAATTTATCTGATATGCTAGTGAGGAAGTAGCAAAGGACTTCCTGTCTATGTCAAGACTACGAGTTCGCTTTGCAACTGGACACTGTCTGTTAAGGAAGCATCTGTCTAACATGGGACTGGGTGACACATCCTTATGTAGAGGTTTTGAACAGTAAGATGAGGCAGTCACTTTGCGAGTGTCCAGCAGTTCCATCAACCCGAGAATCCGTTCTGGGGGAACGTTGGCGATCTATAGTTAGCAAAAGAGAAAGTCCGCTGGATCGTTTCACCTTTTTCCAATAGTCTGTGGGGGCTGACGATACAGACCTGAGTGACCCCTATGGAGGACACACCAGGGTCCAATGGGACCTAAGTGCCGGGATCTTGTTGATTGCCCTTGCCCTATACGAAATACAGAATGAACACCCATGAAAAAAATAGTAATTAGAATTTAACACCAAAACGAATGATGGCGCCTGTAAGTCATTTTAACGAGGATATACTCGTCTGCACAGTCTACTAAATGGTCTGTTTAATGGGCATAGTTGATGCAATTAGGTGATATTTAGATACGGCTGTGGTTTGAAGAATTGAGGGGCTTCTATATCAAGCCGTTTTGTGTGGTCAATAGAGCATAGCGTTAAGTATTATTTACGTTGCAGAAGAAAAACGCGTTCATTAATTCCTTAGGGCAATTATATATTCACAAAAGTGTTATAATATGAAAATAGACATTATTGGTCGAAATTATATAAAATACCATATGTTATGCTTATGGTTTTCCATTCGGCAGAATACAAGCATTGGGAACATTCATATGTTAGTCACTGAATAGTTGCAGGTCAAATTTTTGTTGCAATGTCCGAAATTTAGGTCCATTATTTCTCCACTGTTTTTTACAAATGACTATTTTGCAAACCAGCGTATTACACGATAAAAATATATGATTTTAGAGAAGTTGAAGTTGTTGGAGTATTAGATTTGGTGTCCGAAAATCCTATACGACTCACTTCAAATAATATTCCCATTTGTTACGGGGTATTTAAGAACCCAAAAAGTACATTATTTTCCAAAGGCCATGGCATTTTTACGATTCCATTTCATAGTTGAGAACTATGAAATTTTTGTTAGACGTGTTGTAATATCCCAATAACATAAAGGATCAATACAATCAGCTATAAGTCTACGATTCTAAAGAGTCCATCTCGAAGTAAAACTCTATAGGACAATAGTAAAAGTAGTGGTATTATTTTGAGTACATGGAATTACGACTACACATTTTTTCCGTCGAAATTTGTATTTTTTCACATTTGATTGGATATTTTAGTATTGGTCTATAAATACGTCTCCTTCATCTTGCAAACCAAAAATACCATAATTAACGTTGGAAACACATCCTACATTTAGGATCATTACCTTAAGTCGATTTCATTGTCGCGCATAGTGGGTGTTATTTCTTAAAGCAATTCCAAAAACCTTTTCATATTCCTAGATATCAACTCAACAACAGTTTCGCCTAGTACAGCCACTTGTTAGGCATTTTTTACTACTGACTAAGCAGGTGACCGTTGTGGATACAGTATTGCAAATAGAATATAGCAATGTAAACATGCAGTGAGGTCACTAAGCGAGTATACTAAACAAGGAATTTTAAAATAAACAAAGATGCAGGTGCAGGTTGTAATTAGTATATTTCAATGAATTCACAGACTGTTCTAGCGTTGTTTTCTGCAGACAGCTGTCAGAAATAATCGTCATTTGTATGAATTTATGTACGATTAGCAGATGTTATGAGTTGAAAGGAAGGACTTGGCTTTTGGAACGCGTCTCAATAAGTTGTATTTAGTAATCTGGAAACTGTTAAGTGTCAAAACTGTCAAACATTAGTTTGTATCATTAAGTGACGAGACATATATCTCACATGAAATTTAATTTTCCATGAAAAAGTAGTTTAATGTACAGTCTGCAAAGTTCAAAATTCGCGAGGACGTTTAGAAGAACGTTTGAATTTTACCTAAATTTACACATTAGACATGCACATTCAGGTGATTTTCGACATTAAAAAGTTTATAACTCGAAATCGATCAATTTTAGAGAAACGTTATTAAGGGCATATTTTGTTCAGAATATTTCAAAAAAAACTATGTCTGAAAAAACAATTATTTGTAGTTTGCTGGCAAACATGTGGGGAATTTGTACTAATTAGTGACTTTCGCGATACCCGGTGGTCATTTCTGAACAGATGCTGGAATATTAGATGAGGCGAAAACCTCATATTCGTGGGAAACACTTTTTTACTAATCATCACGTTTTTTGGATGATCCTTGACATGAAGTTGCCGGTTGGTAACCAGGTGCAAATTTGTATAAACTTTTTTTAACAAATAAAGAATTTTCCCTCCTTTCTGTTTTTAGAATAATTCGGAAAAGAAGAGGTCCTTAGTAATGATCTCTATAGTTGATCTTTTTCAATTTATAAGCGATTTAATGTCTGAAAAAGCATAAAAATAGACATCTTTTATGCTTAAAACCCAAGTTGAAAATCATTATTTTTGAGTACAAACTTTCTCGTATAAGACCTCGTATGGTATTATTGCCTTAGTTTTTTTAAAGCAGTTCTTAACCTTGCTTAGTCGGCGTACTTTTGTTTTTGGCAGACTGTGCTTATGAGCATCGTTTAATTATGAGTTTAGAAAAATTAAATCTTTGTTATTGATAACTACTTGGCACTTTTTTGTAAAAAACGTGAGTATCCAATATGCTTTGGCACAGTCTCACTGAAAAGGTTGTCAGTTCATTTCTCTATAACTTCCATCATTACGAAAATCATTATTTTTGAGGTTGCTTAAAGTACAAACTTTCTCCTACAAGGCCCCAAGTAGTATTTTTGGCTTAGTTTATTTTCAAGTAATTCTCAACCTTGCTTAGTAGGCGTACTTTATATTTTCGCAGATTGTGCCTAAGAGCATCATTCAATTAATTGTCAATTTAAATAAATAAAACATTTGTTCTTGTTAACCACTTGGCACTTTTTTGTAAAAAACGTGAGTATCCAATATGATTTTTCACAGCCTCACTGAAAAAGTTATCAGTTCATTTCACTAAACTTCCATCATTACCACTCGATAAGCAAATTAATATGTAAACTACGTCGATTGCACTGATTTTTTTTATTCGAATTAAACTATAAGTGATTATTGATTTTATTCATAAGTTGTGGATGACGCTATTCTTTGTAATAATTATAGTAAGCTTAAAGAACTAAATATACAAAATATATAATCTTAAATCTGATCCGTTTTAAGAAAGGTATCAAAATATCATTTACACGTTCAATTCAATAATATTTTTTATAATATTGCATACACACGTGGACACTCCTGTATTTACTAATAGTGTTTCTATCTACTATATCAGGTCACGTAAAGTAAACAGTGTGTAGTCACCGTTTTTAAGCATGTAAAATGAATCGTGTTATCCTCCAATGCAGTCAGCTAAAGCCCCAAAACGAGTTATTTCTGTCGATAGGAACAGGTTGATAAATAAAACAGGTACCAAGTTTTTTTGAATATTTTTGGTGTGGAATGTTTGTATTTACGATAATTTCGAATTCTATGGGTTTCTTCATTATGCCATCGAGCTCAAGTAAATGATGCATTCCAGTCTAGTACTCTAGGTTGTTTTTAAAATATTGTAGGAATTTTTTAAACCTTTTCATATTTTAATACCAAAGATGATGGAACCAAAGCAGTGAAATATTGGAGGTGCTGCTAATAGTTGACTCTTACGCCTACTCGCACTATCGCTAATAGCTTTTCAGGAGTCTTCTTGCCCAAATCCTAAAATATAGTTTTTTATTATCAAGCATCCCAATATGTATTTCACATCTTCAGTTTCATATATTTTGCCAAGATACCTACCAATCTTCCTTAAAAATGTTAATGTTTTTGTTCATAGTGAAATTAATATTTAAAAAGAATGGTATTCTGCAAAGTCGTACAAAATGAAGTCACATTCCGGAAGTTTAAATTATGATTTAGAAAAGTAGTAAGCTAATACATAATGATAAATATTTCTTGGTTCATTTCAGATGTAGCAGCTGAAAAGACTGAAAAAGCTCTAATCGCAGGTATCGAACATTTCGATACCAGCAAGCTGAAACATACAGAGACTCAGGAGAAAAACCCACTACCTGACAAAGAAGGTGAGGCAAATCCTCAAACAATAGAAAATAGTGTTGCATGACATATCAGGTGGCCAAACCTGATACTTATTATACTTGGTATACTTATAAATCTGATAGTTTCATAAAAAGTTTTAATGTTTTCTCGTTGCTTGTTGTAACGGTTTCTGCGTCTTGTGTGTCTTATGAAGTATTTTTACAAACTCACACCTACGATTAGTAAGAACCAGAGACTCATGCTAAGAAACCTGTCAACCGCGTTAAATTAATTTCGATCTTCATTTCTTTCTTGTTGACTTTTTATCTGCGTAGGCAGAAACGGCAGTAAAGTTACATATTTGTTAACAATAATTTTTACTCAAACAGAATCATTAAGACTCAATTCAATGAAAATTGACAAATGTAAAACTGCCGCAATCGATTACTCCAAAAGTCAGACAGTTATGAAAACTTGGGTTTCTAGTATAAATGATGGCAGTAATTCGGATAAAATATTTACAAAATCATGAGACATACGCAACTTGCTTATTTGTAAGAGGACTACAAATCATATAGCACAGGCAAAAATTCGAGAAAATGGCATGTATTTGTCACTTTTTACGCAAAGTTTGAGATACCTCAAAAATGATTAGACTTAGCTGTAAAATGCAATACATAATATACATATTTGAAAATTTAAATAATTTTGGGTACGCTGCTCTATTTAAAATAGGAAAGCTGGTATCTACTCTCAGGTCAACCGTACATGTCACGATTTTGAAAACCGGGTTGATCCCATCACTTTTACTATGAGCCAAACTTTTCATAACTGTCTTACGTCAACTTTTTGCATAATCTGTAGTGTAAGTTCTACGTGCGCCATCCTGTACTGTCATAGTGACGGGCAGTCGGCGAATACTGCTGTGTATAGCTAGTTTCGTAATAAGACTTGTAATTTAATAAGCATGTGTCTGCTGCCGAGCGCTAAATGTTGTTAGTGTTTAATTATAGAAGATTCTTAACGGCCTGAAAATTCTTTATTTCTGAGTCATTTGGTCATCAGACTCATCATTATTTCGTATCGATCGTTGTTAATTCCTATAGTTTTTTTTTTAATTATTGTTCGAACAGTTCCTGGGGCGCACAAAGAAATTTTTGATTAAGGAGTATTTCGAAACCTGAGATTAGTTGAACTTGTTGAACATTATATATATATAAATATATATAAACAATAGGAAAATAATGGACTTGTTGTTATGTACCTTTCTCCGCATGATCATATTCTCTTTATATATATATATACCTAAATATTTAATTGATTCAACATTCTCAATTATTCCTGCATTTATCCTAACTGTGATAGTATTTTCATTTAAGTATTTCAATATCAGCATACATTTTGTTTTAGAAATATTCAATTTTAGTTTATTTACATTTAACCAATTTACGACTTTTGCCAAGTCAGAATTTAGCATTTTTAAAGCAGTGTCTATATTTTCATCTTATATGTATACTAAGTGACATATAAATCCGAACACCCAGTTTAAATGGTTTTATTTTAATTGTATAAGACTTAATGAAGCATAATAAGTAAATGATAAAAATTTCAAAATGATTGCACTGCTTTAAAGCCCTTTGACCTTTAATAATGTGTGGATGCACCCTGATGTGCTACGCAATCTCCAACGCGCCTAGGCATGCTTCTGATCAGGTGGTCAATGTCCTCCTGTGGTATCTCATTCCAGGCAACCACCAACTCCTCTCGACGTGCTTCTAGAGTCTGAGGAGGACGTTGCAAATTGAGCAATCTCCTACCCATCATATCCCACACGTGCTCAATTGGGGATAAGTCGGGAGATCTTGGTGGCCATGGTAACAATGTGACATCATTATGTTGAAAGAAGTCTATTGTGACTCTTCAACATGTGGTCGGGCATTATCTTGTTGGAAAGTTGGATCTGCCAGGGTGTCAAGATGGGGTTCTGGAACTTCGTGGATATAACGCTGCGCGTTCATGTTACCTCTGATGAAGATTAAAGGTGACCTGGAACCATAAGCTATAGCACCCCAAACCATAACTCCAACAGTGTGATGAACATGTCTTTCAACAAAAAACTGTGGATTCCTCCTTTCACCACGTCGCCTTCTAACCCTGGCACGACCATCGTGCATGCCTAAACAAAATCGAGACTCGTCACTAAAGACAATACTGTTCCATTCCTGATCCCAGAGTGACCGTTGTCTGCACCACTCGAGGCGATTACGTCGGTGTTCTCGAGTTAAAGGGAGGACCCAGTGTGGCCGGTATGAAAACAAGCCAAAACTTCTCATTCGTCGGTAAACACTTCGCATGCCAATAGGTCTTCCGTGTTCTGCAAACCATTCATTTGCAATGGACCTGGTAGTGGAGAAACGGTCCCTTAAGGCCAATAATCTTAGGCGGCGATCTTCACGGTCTGTTGTTCTACGGCGGCGTCAAGTGCCCCTTGCTCTTTGCGTACGGCCTTCTCGAAGCCATGCCTGACAACACCTAACCACAGTGTCTACACTTCTTTGCACTCTAACTGCAATTGCCCGAAAAGAAAGTCCAGCTTCCCGAAGTCCCACTATACGGCCCCTATCAAACTCACTAAGTTGACGAAATCGTACAGGTCTCCGTACTCTAGGCATCGTAACCGATCGTAAAGGATGTCAAGAACCAAAATCCGCCAACGTTGATTCTTTACTGCGGCTGAAATATTCATTTTTAGAGCGTTAGTGAATTAAAAAAAAGCAGTATATAAACCGGAATGTCCAACTGATAAGGCTGAAAATTTTTTCACTTGTTATTTACAGTAAGATAAATACATTCACCAACTTTTATTAAAATAAAACCATTTAAACTGGGTGTTCGGATTTATATGTCACTTAGTATATATTAATGTGTCATTAATGTATAAAATAAATAGTAGTGGACCTAGTTTGCTACCTTGTGGTATACCAACAGAAATATTTTTTGATCTTGAAAATGTAGATCCAATTTTGGTTTTTTAACTTCTGTCAATTAAATAGTTTTGTGGAATTTTGAATACATATCCTTTAAATCCCTAGTAATGCAATTTTATAAGTAATTTATCCCTGTCAATAGTCTCAAACGCCCTTTTGAAGTCCAAAAACACTGTTACTGTATGTTTCCGATTGTCCATAGATCTCCTCCAGTCCTCTGAAACCATTTGTTGCCGTTTCAGTTGAGTGTTTCTTCCTGAATCCAGCTTGATATTTGGTTAAAATGTTATTTCCCTCAATAAATTCGATGATCTGTTCGTAAATAATTTCTTCAAAAACTTTTTCAACATCTGGCAGAACATTTATTGACCGAATATTTTTGTAGTAATGCAGCTTTCGCCTATAAGCTGTTAACTAAATTCAAGAATAGCCGGAACTATAACGGACAAACTTCGGAGAACGGCTATTCCTATTCCTAGTCCTTCCATGGAGTGACCAAGGGTCAAAAAAAAAGTATTGGACCAACATTCCAGCTGTTTCAGCCATTCTATAGAGTGACTGATACATGGCGGACTTTGACGTAGCTCGAAAGTTGATCAAAATCCTTGGTCATTTAGCAAAGTGACTAGCCCCATTGCAGGACTTTCTGCTCTCCGGGTTTTGTCTATAATAATGTAAAATATTTTCGATCTCATAAATGTATGATCTTTGGTTCCCTTTTCACTACTTTGTGTTGCTTCAAATGACATTAGAAGTTAGTAATTTTTATTGATCAAATGAAGTTCGAATGCTTTATGTTTGTTAGCATTTACTTAGCCTCTTTGTTTTCAAATATGCATGTTTTTGTGTTTTGCTTTTTGCATGGCAGTTGTCCTCCAAGAGCGAACCCATCAGACGCTTCTCAGTGGCGTAGAGCATTTTGACAAAACTACAATGAAGCATACGACAACCACAGAAAAGGTCGTCTTGCCAGATAAAACAGGTAGGTGCTTAGCAATTGCAGAATCGCAAAAATGCATTTTACCAAAAAAATACTGTCTCGTTAAGTCAGAATCAAAAAATATTTACTGTTCATTATGCGTTTCCCTATTTATCTTCAATGACATTGACTATCTTTTGAGCAACCAGGATTGACACAACGACTTACCTAAATCAGACAGTTACTTGTAAACAAAAGTCGTACACCTAGAACCGCCCCGACAAACAATTGCCTATTGTCCAAATGAGTGTTGTACTGATGGCGCTATCACCCTGTTTACGATATAAATAACAACATTGTCTAATATAGTATTTTTAACAGTACATGAAGGAATGTTACTTCTAAATTAAAATTTTTATGTATCTTACGTATGTTCCATTTGTACCTTCTTTTAATATTGAATGCATTCAGGTAACATAAACATTTGATCAACAAACTATCAAATCTGGCGCCATGTAGAAATTGCAGTCAAACTGATAAAGCTATCCCATAGTCATTCCTATTCAGCTTAAAAGCGTTGCGTTAACGGTTGTTATAATAATAGCTCCGCAAAATGCTAACTATTCAATACAAATCTAAATTATGTGGAAATATTTAAACAAAACGTGTGCAAGAATAATCAGCTCCTTGATGATATATTTATTTTGAAATGTAGTATGTTTGCATCCAATTTTGTGTGTTACTTTCTGCATGCCGGTGTTAAATGTATATTGCATGCACAAAAATTTAATTTTTATATCCACTGGTGAACAAACTCAAGTCTATACGTGATTATGGCATCTATTCACAATAGTAGAGAATAGAGAGGTTTTTTAGGTTCACTTTTGAGTTGTGGATATATAAATGTTTGTGGAGGGTGCGGTGAATTTCGCAACCTTCTTCCCATCATGTCCCATACAAGCTCGATGGGGGAAAGGTCTGGAGATCGAGGAGACCACTGAAGCAGATTCACTCCTAACTAAAAAGTCTAAACTAACACGTACGAAATGGATCGCTGAACACGACTGAGTTCCATTCCATTCAAGTCTCTCATTACTCCATACCAATCGTTGCCGACGAGGTACTACAAGATGGGGACACTATGAAGACAGTCCACAAGACCTTATTAGGCGATAAACTGTCCTCATTGATATTGCGCTCCGACAGCATCAAACCACTGGTTCGCAAGAGCCCTTGTGGAAAATCGATCTCTAAAAGGCCCGTATCGTCAGTCGTTCCTACAATTGTAGGGCGCGTTTATGGCCTCCTTGATTGTCATACTCCTTCCTTTCTCTCCTTCAAAAATTTCTAGATTACACTTGTCCCGTGTCAGCGTCAGCGCTCTCCTATTGTGAAGATATGTTTTCCTTTTAAATTGTAGGAAATTTCAGGCTGATAAAACATGATATAACTCAAAAGCAAGCACAATTTGATGCAAATAGATGTTCGTGACATAACCTCAAAATAGAGCGCTGACACGGAGAAGTAGAAAACTATGACAATCAAGGAGGCCATAAAGGCGCCCTACAATTGTAGGGACGACTGACGATACGGGCCTTAGTGCTAGTTGCCTCAAATAACGATCCTGTCGCTCTGTAGTCTATCTTTGAGGTCCAGTACCTTTAACCACGTTCGACAACATCTCATTACAGTAGCTCCGTTTCGACTCATCCGATTAACGATTTCTCTAAAAAAAATCCGGCTCCACGTAACCCGATTAACCGACCCCTCACAAACTCGGAAAGTTGAGTGAAATTAGCGCGTCTTCGACTCTAGGCATGATCATGCGATGAAACAACGATGAAACAAATGGAACTAACACAGTAAAATCACAGAATATCAAGTAAACATGTTCATATTTTTCGGATCCTAATATGATACAAAAAAGCCTTTACAAATAAAGTAAGGCTCGGATTGCCTTCAACATTTTATTTTTTATTATATATGTTTACAATTTTTTATCAAAATTCAATAAATAATTCTATATTTTTTATGGATGAAGATAACGTGGTGTTTTTTGTAGTTATAGCGAAATGCAGTTGTCTTCTAGAATGTCATGACATGTTATTCAGTTTTGAATTCATTGCTTTTGTAATGTTAAAGGAAAATTCTTAAATAAATCGCTAGAGCTTCTTATTATTAAGATGAATATGTCAGTTGGCTATGTAATTGCTACGTCTATTTGCCGTTTTATATTTGGAATTATGACCATAGCTAATGTAGTAAAGAATATTGTGAACAGATTGTCTCTGAATGAGTATTTTAAATTTTACAATCTTTCTGTATTACTTGCAAGCAGCTCTTCATGTAAAATTATGATTTATGGTATTTTATTATTACAGTGATTGAGCAAGAAAAGGGCCAAAGAAACCTTATATCTGGAATTGAAAACTTTGACAGTAGTAAGTTGAAACACGCCGAAACACAGGAGAAGAACCCTCTTCCCACCAAGGAGATCATCGACCAAGAGAAGAAGGCTTAAACTTAACACATTTTTTATTTCACAAAATTCCTAAAAAAACTCCTGTAAGGGCGCGCCAACATTTTGTATTATTTTATACTTTTATACGGCATTTGATATATCTATTTATAATGTAAGATATCCCTAATAAGTCGTCGTACCAACTGGTCGGAAAATGAGTCAGTTTCTTAGGAATAGCATTATAATACAATTTATAAAACTTATTTGTTTCCCTCCATAAAAAATATGAAAAGATCCAATATAACTAAATTAGTAGTAATAGTACCTGTATTTTCCAAGCTTGGTTCTGAAGGACTCTGTAGTATTTCAATGCTTTAGATGTCACAGAACATATCCAAAATATTATCCTCTTCACAATATACTTTATCTGTCCACAAAAATTTATATCCATCGATCTCGTATATTTTTTGAAAGTGTATGCCAGAATATTTTATGAGAACTGTACATGTCAAGAAAATGATTCATATTCTGCTTTCTCAAACATATATGTAATCATTTGTACTTATTTTGTATGACATTTATGATTATTAGGTAGTAGACTGGACAAATTATTATTTCTGCATGAAATATGGTGCTTCAATAAATTATCTGTGAAAAAGTATCCTGTGTTTTCTGTTTTTCCATCCATAAATTAAAAACACATACTTAAGGTGTTATGTGGATGTTCAAAAGAGACTTGCGAAAATGTAGTTTAATATTTCTATTTTTTTTTTGCTTCCCACGCCTACGGGGCGGAGTATTGTAATCGCGAAAATTTTCGAAAATAAGAAGTTTAAGACAATATACATCACGAAAAACCGTGTCGCTCATTTTCGTATGTCTGTCGGTCAGTCTCTTCGTGAATCCTATAACTTGAGAAGTACCCTATCATATTTTTACATAATGCAACTACTATGCCAAAGACGAAAAAGCTTTGTAGTTTTTGAAAATCGGTCCAGTGGCTGCGAAAAGAAAATCGCTCAAACTTCCTTTTTTGACGTTTCAAAGGATCCTGGTGATTTAAAAATAAAACTTAAGAGGCCCTTGCAAGTGTTCTGGTATTCGTATTACTTCCGCGCCCCACCATCGTGCCCTATGATGTGGCCGCGCTGCCGCACTTGACCGGGTTAGTTATCGTGGGGGAAGCGACATTGCCAGATGGACTATTGTAGGGCAGGGACAGAATGTCTATGGACTAGTTATTATATGGACATGGACTTGTTTCTCAGAGAGTCTAGTTTGTGCTGAGCAAAATCCTTTATGAACTTGGCGAGATTTTTCAAAAGTTGCAAAAGGTTGGATATTTGAAACCTAATAGTCAAATTGTACTTAAATGAAGAGTAAGTATACAGAGATCCAAAAAAACAACAATATATCTAGAGGTGACAGGACCTACCAAAATGGGACATGTCCTCGTGTGGAAAAAACTTGGGAGTTACTCAAGAACTTATATGGCCAGACGCACAGATGCCACACAGTATTTGGCATTTAGACACTGTTGGCATATGCGCAGTTTCTGTCACTAACACTCCTGTCACAGTGAAGGCGGGGCTAACTCGTAGGTGCATTGTGCAGGAAATGTCTGCGCATGTGGCATCTCTCTGTCTCTCTCTCTCTCTTGCTGTCATCATGACCGTAAACCACGAAGCAGACGCGCTCCTTGACGACAGAATTGGCTTCATACCAAAACGTGTATCACTTACGGAGTTTAACCTCCTATCTCTAGGCTCCGTTGGCGCGTTGGCGGTCACTAATGAAAATAGTGACTGCTTCAATTAGAGAGGAATATAAACAGGCTCAGTCAAGTCCTTATTAGACATCCGTGACAACTTTGACATACCTCACAGGTGTCAACACTTTCAACCTCGCATAAATCAAATCCAAGCGAATAACCAAAATTTCTGGGTTATGTACCGCTATGACACACGGGTTGACGTCAGTTACTCGAATCGCTTGAACGCGTTGGTTTTACCCGCGGTTTTGTAGCAAATTGTTTATTTTAGAAAACCGTGTACATAATTTCTGATTATTTTTATTATCACTTAGTAATCGGTATTTTTTCGTCTACAACGGTGTATGGATAGTTTAAAAAAGAAACCTTTCAGAATATTACTGGGAGAAAAAAAATTTAGTGACGGAACCATGGCTTTGCAGCTATGATAACTTTCAATTCTCTAAACTTTTCCGCTTATCAAAGAAAACATTTATTGAGTTAACAGAAATGATAGGAAAAAGCGATGAAAAAAGATATTAGCAAAACCGTATACAGGTGGAAATCATCCCGTGAGCTTATATGGCCATATTTTAATATTCTTGTGTTATATGGCTTCATAGGATACTTTGTTAAGCATAGGAACTAGATTTAAAGTGTATCCAACAACAGCAATGATTATAACTAAGGTGCTCTAGTTTATGCTAAAACTGAAGTCAGCCTGTATTAAATTTCCCAAAAATGAAGCTGAAATACAATAAAAATATCCAATACCCGGCAAAATTCTAACTTGTCACATGTCAAATAATAACCAGAAATATAAAGGTACTCCTAAGTTGGGTAAATACCACAAGTTTGCGGTGATAACTATGACATATAACAGCTAACTCATGACGTCACGGATTGTATAACCAAACTGATAACCACACTCGCTTGAACATATCGGTAAATAACAATCCAAAATGGTAAATACCATTTACATTTGGTTATTCGCTTGAATCTGATTATAGTGTATTTTGAATGGTTTTGGTTATTTATTTTTGATTCTCATCTTCCCATATGATTTTCACTTTTGCTATTTGTGTCGCTTGGGTACAAGGTATAGTGTAAATAATTTTTTTAATTGTATGAGCTGTCACTGTGTGACATATTACGCCGTGTCTAACCATGAAATCAATACACATATTTCTGCATCACATTAGTAGAAGACATATTTGTCGAAATACTACCTGGTTTTATGGAGTGGTTGAATCAGACCCTATTATTTTTGAGTCCTTGGATTATTCTCAGGAGCTCTATAGAAGTGTACTTGCTCCGCCACTGGAGTGGAAGAAAGTCTAACGTTTCGTGGCGCTATATAGGCAACCAGTATTTCACAACATTGGATCAGCAAATTTTTCACATGAAACAACAAGTTAAATAGGTCAAACCGTCAAACTTCCACATATACAAAAAAAATTGACTTTTGTCCTATTCGAGGATATTAAATATTTAAATTGAATGTAAAATCTAACACACGAGAGTTTGTAAGGCCCGTATCGTCAGTCGTCCCTACAATTGTAGGGCGCGCTTATGGCCTTCTTGATTGTCATACTTTTTTCTCTCCAAAAATTTCTAGATTACACTTGTCCCGTGTCAGCGTCAGCGCTCTCCTATTGTGAAGATATGTTTTCTTTTTAAATTGTAGGAAATTTCAGGCTCAACTCAAAAGCAAACACAATTTGATGCAAATAGATGTTTGTGACATAACCTCAAAATACAGCGCTGACACGGAGAAGTAGAAAACTCAAAAGCAAGCACAATTTGATGCAAATAGATGTTTGTGAGATAACCTCAAAATAGAGCGCTGACAGGGAGAAGTAGAAAACTATGACTATCAAGGAGGCCATAGAGGCGCCCTACAATTGTAGGGACGACTGACGATACTTTTTTTTTTTTTTTTTTGGTGAGGGGGGAATGCATTTACGCACCATACCTTAGCCCGAGCTACGGCGTGTGTGGGACTTCAGGGTCTTGACGACTGCTGACGATACGGGCCTTAAACCAGCCTTGTATTGATAATAGCACAGCCGACGTCGGCTGTGATAATAGGTTCAAAATCTGGCAATGTTGCTTGATGAATTTCGTAATCGGTGTTCTGTCGTTCTGTGGTCCTATGTTACCACCATCGCACCATCTGTTTGGTGTCAAAGTCAAACGGTTTTAAGGCCATTGTGACATGTTGCTGTATTTGGAATGGATATTATGATTTGGTGACCTTTTTCAATATCAAGACTAATTTAAGACCTATTAATCCGTGGATTTAAAACAATAACAACGGTTAACCTCCTGCTGGGGATCAGCGGAGCAAAGTAAAGACGCAGAATGGAGCCACAAAATCAAGAAGGCGTTATGGAGAGACAGGGCAGGTGGGTGATAATTTTTAGTTTTTAAGCTTGTAGCCTTCCGAAATACAGGAAAATTTTGACAATACGTAGTTGTGGAATTGAAATATCTGGATTTCTACGTAGCTGGTCTTTCTGATGGTAGATACAATGGAGAAAATCAAACTTTTATGGTAATTGAACATTGTCCTCAAATTTTCTTATTATGGAAGTTAACTGACAACTAGTTTCTAATAAATTAACAATTCTCTCTCTTCTATTTGTAGCACGTTTCAGTTTGCACTTTGGTTTATTCAAAAACATAATGAATTATAGTATAAACAAAACATTCTATTTTCGACCTTACAAATTTATATGTAATGTTCGAATTTGGACTGAAATTCTTATTGACATCAATTGAGAAGTAAGCTGTTCACTTTGCCGTCATCTTCTACAGTGCTGATTGACTTCTGCGTTACCTGTTTATTGTGATTTGATCCAAGTCAACCAAGATCGATATGATAGACTTCAGCTGCTCAGTTTCTGGTCTAGTCAAGCCACCTCTTAGGCAGTTCAGACTATTTATTTATTTTTAAAATATGAGTATTGTTCATAATGGTTATACTTTATCCTTTATTGGCAGATAACTAACAATTTTTTATGTTAAAATTACACAACTTACTTAAAAAACACAAAATATGTGAATTAAACAACTAGCAGCAGGATTTACTTTGAACAGCTTTGTATCAGTATCCAATTTTAATTTGTATCTAGAAACAATTTCAATTGTAGTAAGCAGAACGTACACAATTTTGAAATTTATGCATATATTCTATCAAAATATCTACTAAAGTACTAATTGAGAGCAATATTTTAAACATTTACATATACTATATTGATTTTTAGAAACCTATCTTGATTGTAGGTTGATAGCATTGCTGTTCTGACTAATCAAAACATAATGACTGTTTAATCATTATTTGTATGATTTCTCTTTATCTTTATCTGATTCCTTTTGTGAATATCCAACAGGACTATGAATGATATAACATTCACTAAAAGTGCATCAATTAAAAGATTTAAAATAGTTATCTAGCTGATAGCATTTAGATATGTTGTTAAGGCAAAATATTTAAAAGTTGTATTGTGTTTCAGCTGTCTATTGCTAAGATGTGCTAGCCAGAACTCTCTGGATGAAAGCTCCCAGAAACACATCTCTCAGTTGCATTCACATAGCAAAGAGAGACCTCCTTACAAAAATCACCTTCACACCCAGAAGGCGTTTGACATAATGAATGTGATGAGAAAGTAAGTATTAGTATGACAACAATCAAAGTTGTTGTTACATTGACATGGCTAGGTAAAAATCAACAGGTGATAGATACATATATGTATAGCATTACCATCAAAATTAGACCACTGTTTTCATAGAAAGTGAACATGTGATGTTGCCTCTCAAGGCCAGGCTGCCTATAGTCTTTTTTATGAGTATCAATTATGGTAGAATGACAGCTGATTATCTAGTAATATTTCATAATTACCCATATCGACAAAGGACACATAATTCTGACAGATCCATCAATGCCATATTTTGTTTTGGTTTTTTTCTGTCACAGATTCATTTTGTACTTTCTGAAAGCTCTTTTATTTAGAAAGGGTCATTTGCACATAAAAAATAGAACTCTACAAACAAGTTTCACTACAGTTACACCCTATTCATTATTGCCAACATTGCAGACTAATACAAAAATGTCACTTGCTGAGCTGCTGTTCACATCAGAAGACATCAATGCTCGTAAAATAGGGTATTGGTAACTGTCAAATACATTGACAATTATTGGTCAAATAAGCAATTCTGTACCCCAGAGCCAGACTATGCTAAGTCCATTTTTTCAAAAAATGAGTTATTAGCGCCATTTTGTTCAATTCATTAAGAAGAATACGATGATATTTTCGGTAGCTATGATAGTTTTCAAGGTAGCTTTTGAAATTATAAGCTAAGTCCGAGCCAAAATAGTTCAAGTCTGCTTAGCGTAGTTTGCTTCCAATGACACGGCGCGGCATGCGTTTCAATTGCCAGACTGAACCGTGACCGTTCAGTTACGATCCAGTCACTGAAGTAATTACACTCGGTAGGTTTAAGTACATTAGTTATTGTTTAAGATTAACAGTTAAACTGAGCAGTATAATGTCTCGAAGAAGCCAAAAATGATTTTTTCTCTGGCAAAACTTTCAGCCAGAGATAGTGGCGGCAATTATTGCAGTCAAGGTAATGAAAAGAGTACATATGCTGATAAGAGCAGATATGCTTGCAAAAATAATTTTCTACCATCTAGATATTAATGAACAATTTTGAAGTGGTTAAAATACTTTGAAGCGATTGCTTCATACGTTGAACAATTTTTTTTTTATACTCCAACTACCAGGAAGGCCTAAGGCCTAAGCACCCATTGGGTACCGTGGGGCTACAAGGGGATACATGGGAAAAGGGGGAACGCCACACGGACTCTGGCGATGGAACACGTGTGCATGCAACATGCACACATTCTAGCCCCGCCTACGAGATCCGCAGATGAAAAGAATTCGAGAACGGACAGGTACAAAATCAGGCCAGAGAAAGCATATGAACCAATATTTTTTTTGATGTTGATAATCTGAAGGTTCGTGTCTCTATGTTATTTTTCCTAGATACATTAGATATTTCTCACCAAACCGTTGATACTGCAATTCTTAAAAAACTACACCGGAAAATAAAATAAATGAAGATATTAGAAATGGCGTAAGACTCCACATCAAAATTCCCAACTCACGAATCACATTATAGCCGTGAAAAAAGTAAGAAAAAATATCTAGGGAATCTCTTAGATATCTCTCGTGTGTACAATCTTTATTTAGAAGAATGCCGTGAGTCGGATATGCCAGCAGACAAGATATACAGGGAAACATTTAATTTTGACTTTAATTATACTTTCCAAAATCCTGATACCGACACTTGCGATATTTGCGACAACTTTAAACTGCAGCTGCAGAAAGCTCCTTGTGCATTCCTTAAACAAGCAATTCAAGACCAATACGAATCTCACCTGAAAGATTCTAGATATAGAAGAGAAAATGAAGATAAAGAAAAATAGCGAAGTAACAGTCGGACTGAAAAGGTGGCTATGTTAGATCTCCAGAAATGCCTTCTAACACCTGATATACATAACTCACAAAGCTTTTATTGTTTAAAACTTTGGACGTTCAATCTTACAATTCACGATGCTATGGAAGAAAATGCTAATTGTTTAATGTGGGACGAGACTATTTCAAGTCTATGAGGTAACGACGTTGCTTCCTGCCTAGTAAAGCGGGTACAAACTAATATTTCAGAAAATATAGAAATCCTCACCCTTTGGTCTGATAATTGCCGTTCTCAGAACTGGAACATACTTGTTGTCATGTCCTACTTCTGAATGTTAAAATTAAGAATATTAACCATACATTTCTTGTACGAGGACATACTCGCTTAAAGGCTGGCGGTGATCATTGAAAACGAAAGAAAGAAATTAAGTCAGTTTAAAATAGTAACGCCTTAGGACTGGCGACAGCTTATCCGCTTATGTGCCACGAAAATGAAATGTAATGCCATTGATATGACTATTTGACGGTTCAACAGCGCCTTTTGTCTCGCAAAAAAAATTGTGGAAAAAAATTTCGAACAAGAAACTTTTTTAACAGTAGACTTAAATCAAAAAAGCCCAGAATTTTTAAGCCCAATTAGACAGGGGCCCAAACCAATTTCACCAAGAAATATCAACACCTCCAAAAAGTGTTGCAATGGGTTCCTCGCAGATTTCATGATTTTTACTTAAATCATACAAATTGTGAGACTGAGTAATAAATAATTAGTTTTGTATTCATTTTTTAAATAGTTTAAAATATGTACATTTTTCTTGTATAACGTCATTTTTATACAGTTGATAGGGTACGTTTTTAAGTTGAATTTAATGATTTTTATAAATATTTGTAGATAAGAATACGTTGTTTTTAACCTCTATTTGTGGATATTTCACAAAATATATGATTTTTTGCAAAAAATGCTTTACCTGTAATTTATTTAGTTTTCCTAAATATGTCAAGGCCGGTTAGCACATATTTTACTGGTTCTAGAACTCGAACAGGCATTAAATAACTTACCACCATGGAAATTGCTACATTAGAAAGCAATTGCTAAAAGTGTGATTTATAATTTTATATAAACAGAAGTTACTCTAAAAATGTATAACTTATTACCCAGCTATCTAACTTTCAGTACCTTTGGCCAAATATTTCGCGATTTACTTTAGTAACAAAAGAAAAATGTCTGCATGGAACTCAAATTAGTTCTTACCTTAAGTTGTTTATTTTACAAATCATCAGTGTATTTGACATGATTGCCAATTATTGAGCAGCCTGGCCTTGGTGTGTTAAAGCATGATTGAGCACAATGATGCCTATTCATGTTCTACATCTACAGGAATGTCTGCAGAACTTAGGTAGCAAAATTGTTTACATAAATGCGTTCAAGTATATAAATTATCATCTTTTTACACTAGTCAGATTAGTCTGTGAAAGGTTGGAAAATCTCGAAACTGGAGATACTACAGACCAAATTATGTGAATTGACCTAAACATACCTCAGTCCAAAAGCTGATAGTTTGCGAGATATACATATCTCGAAATATATCTCGCAAACTGTTAGTTTTAGACACTTCTAACAAGTGAACCTTTTTTGTTGTGGAAATACGAGGAAATAAGATTTTTCGGTAAGTTGATGTATACATGGTAGCACAAAAAAGTTATGTTAAGTTATTTACAGAAATAGTGCTGTAAGTGGCGCCATCTAGAAGTTTGGTCACAAAAAATAACGGATTCTTGTTTATCATACTAGAAAACCTCCCTATACCGAGTTTTATGCCAAAATCCGAAATACTTCTCAAGCAATAAGAAAAAATAGAAAATTGTAACTTTGACACCCTGTATCTTGCAAATTATTAACTTTTGGACTGAAATATGTTTAGGTCAATTCACATATTTTCGTCTGAAGTATCTCCAGTTTCAAGATTTCCCAACTTTTTGGCAGACACATGTAACACTATAAAATGTATGTTATTAGGCAAAAACTTCTTTGTGATGTGACCTTGGTGGCAAATGATGTTGAAATCCCATCACACAAAATGGTCTTGGCAGCATGTTCCCCCTATTTTTATGCAATGTTCTCAAGTTTTGAAGAAAGCAGACAAGACAGGATAGTTCTGCAAGAAGTTGACCATCAAGCATTATTATTGCTGATTGAGTATGTCTATACATCAGAAATTCATGTTACTGAAGAAAATGTTCAGGTGCTCTTGCCAGCAGCAAACTTGTTGCAACTGACAGACGTGAGAGATGCTTGCTGTGACTTTTTGCAAGTAAGTTGGTACTTGGAAAAAATGTGAATAGGTACTACAACAGATTGTGAAACAATTACTCTTGGAAACCTAACCTTAATTTTCTCATCGAGCTATTGAAAATAATGTTATCACACTGATATTTTTACTATATTTTAGGCACAACTGCATCCTACTAACTGCCTAGGTATCAGGGCATTTGCAGATCTACATGGGTGCTTAGAACTGCTTTCACATGCTGAGTCATACATTGAACTACATTTTCCGTGAGTCTCGCTTGTAGCACTTTTTATGTTCTGTTCTGAATGTTGTCCAATATTTTAGAGAAGTAGTCGAATGTGAAGAATTCTTGACTCTATCTCATCAGCATGTTTCAAAGCTAATATGTAGCGATGCATTGACAGTTCCGTCAGAAGAAAAGGTAATAAAAATATTTAAAAATCAGTAAATTTGAACATTGATGTTCCAAGATATCCTATTAAGTATAAGGGTTTTCGTAGGTTTTTGAGTGTGTCATTGCATGGGTACAACATGACTTGGAGAACAGGCATAAACATCTAGCCTCTCTAATGGAACATGTGAGACTTCCTTTAATGTCTCAAGATTATTTGGTGCAAAGAGTTGAGGAAGAACCACTCTTGAAGGCTGACATACAATGCAAAGATTATTTAATAGAAGCACTGAAATACCATCTCCTTAAAGGTGACTTTTTATATCAACATCTATGAAAACCACGATTCAGGAAACAAAATATTATTTAATTGTCACTATAATTCCATATGTATAAATATCATTTATCTGCACTGTTTTGATATTATATTTATAATACTAACTACTCAACAAAGTTTTCATGATATTAGTATGTTCAATCACTCATCTTTAAGTTTGATGTTTCTTTGTCTTAGGCGACACAAAGACTTCATTTCGCACTCCACGAACGAAACCACGACAGCCAATAGGGCTTCCAAAAGTACTTCTGGTGGTGGGAGGTCAAGCTCCTAAAGCAATACGAAGTGTGGAGAGTTTCGATTTTAAAGAAGAGAGGTGGTTCCAAGTAGCAGAAATGCCAACTAGAAGATGCAGAGCAGGATTGGCCATGTTAGGAGGAAAAGTTTATGCAGTAAGTATGACAAAATGTTATTAGGCGCGCAGATTTACATATTTATTGTTCGTCTTCAGGGCTTTCTTGAATGGACTCTTTGTATTAAATGAAATAAATATTTTAAATTTGCTTAGCTTAGAAAATAAATTGTATGGGATTTTATAATGAATACTAATGAGCAAATATGGAAATTGAGACGGTTACAAGAAGATATGCCCTTTTAGGTTGGTGGTTTTAATGGATCTCTTCGTGTCAAGACTGTGGATGTGTATGACCCAGCACTAGATACATGGTCTAGCTGTGATAGTATGGAAGCTAGAAGGTCTACATTAGGTGTGGCTGTGTTGGATGGTAAAATATATGCAGTTGGTGGTTTTGATGGATCGACAGGATTAAATACAGCAGAGGTAAACTGGCTTGATTCATCTATATGTCAAGGTGCTGAATGATTGTGTACAGAGTTGCAAATTTTACTTGAATGTATTATCTTATTATAAAGTTACCATTTGTAAAATAGGTTTACGACCCGGCTATTGGCAGTCAAGGTGTTGAATGATTGTGTACTGAGTTGCAAATTTTACTTGAATGTATTATCTTATTATAAAGTTACCATTTGTAAAATAGGTTTACGACCCGGCTATTGGCAGGTGGACCCAAATATGTTCCATGTCAACAAGAAGAAGCAGTGTTGGTGTTGGAGTTTTATACAGCCAATTATATGCTGTAAGTTTCTGCAATCTTCTATATTTGATATAATAAAAAAATATTTAAAATGTTCAGGTTGGCGGATATGATGGTGCTTCCAGACAGTGTCTCAGTTCTGTCGAATGTTATACCCCCGAAACTGGTACGTGGACTTCAGTACCTGATATGTGCTCCAGAAGAAGCGGAGCTGGTATGTTTCTTTGTATAATATTTTAACTTTATTTTGATATAGTATATCCTATATGATGGAGCCTCTAAACTAGCATTTTTTGGCTATAACTATGACAACTATAGCGCAGCCGCATTGACCTTATTGTAGTAAATGACCCGGCTATATATACAGGTTGTTTGGTACATGAAGTGAACTGTTTTTATTTTTTGGTAATTTAGGAGGACGATTAATGTTGTTTACTGAAAACTTCGTTGTGCTAGGCGGTTACTGAAATATGATTTGCTTTTTTCATTTTTAAACTGAATTCCTTGCAATTGCGCATAAATATTACTGAAATATGATTTGCTTTTTTCGTTTTTAAACTGAATTCCTTGGAATTGCGCATAAATATTGTTGTAACTTTTTTGTTTGATGTTTATTTTTTTTTATTTAAACATAATTACAATTTTATATTGTCACCCTTAGAATGACTTCCTTTTGAAGCCACACAGCGCTGGAGACGGTTCTTCCACTCCTCATAGCAGTGCTGGTACTCCAATACTGAAGTATCCTTTAGCTGGTCGGTTACAGCCATTGTATAATTTTCGACTGTCCAAAAATGAGTTCCCTTGAGTGATTTTCCTACTTCGGCAAGACAAAAAAGTCACAACGACTCAAGTCAGGCGAATAAGGAGACTGAGGAGCCACAGGAATGTTTTTACTGCCCAAAAACTCATTTATTGACATTGCTGTGTGACAAGGAGCATTATCGTGATGCAACACCCAGTTGTTCTTGATCTGATGAACGGTGGTGTAAGCCAAATTTCACTCTTTCCCAATCATTCTGGCTGTCAGCCGACGATCTGAACGCACAAGATTCCGGATCCCCTTTCTGAAAATGCCTTAAACCACCGAAAAACCTGGGTTCTTGACAAAACACTATCTCCATAGTCTTGTTTAGCAAGAGTTTCCATTGGATTATCCAAGCCTGAAGCAAAACCTGATAGCACACTGTTGCTTGAAATTGATGTTACTCATTCTTAGAACACAATAGATAAAACTGTTTCACAAAAAAAAATCGATACACACAATCAAATGACTCGAGCGAGTTCAAACTTGTTCTGAAGGCGAATCACATGTTCTCCTGTCTGCCCTCCAGGCCTGGCACCTTCTGTGTTGCCAGATGTAACGTTACGTTGCAAGTCTCACCACTTAATTTACAGACCGTGTATCTATAAAAGCTTTGAAGTTTATTAGCTTTCCAGCAATATGCTACACTTATTCAAGTTAAATATCTCTTAGGAAAGTAGATTTCAAGATAATGACATTCAATACTGGATTTAAGAACATTTCATGTCTACCATAATATATACCTACTAAGGTAAATATTAATGGCCATGGTTTACAACACTAATGTTTTGAAGGAGAAAACAAAGGACTTACACATTTTAAAGTAATTGTTACAAGTGTTATAACCATTCAAGCCTATTGTCAATAGACCTAAAAGGTACTTAATTCAGGTTTCCAAGGTGGTTAACTTCAAATCAATTTTCATAAGGGGTATTCCTAAGCATACCTGTTGATTCAACAATTAGTACTGTCATCATTCTCATAGTTAAAAGAATGCACCACCAAATCAGCCTTAGTCGAGATTTGATTATTTTTGTTATCACAAGTGCATTTGCGTTTGATATGGCTATTTACGTAGTGATTTTTGTTTTTGTTACGTTTTATGATTTTTAACTGTTTTGTTCTTGAGTATGGTGTTGTTATAATGCCCAATTTCAGTAATAAGGAATGTGGTGATATGTTGCTAGCTTATGACAGTGCATTGGCACTACAGACTTCTTTATTGCAGCTAGATAATATGTTTAGAAGCATCTTTACAAGACTCGATAGCTTCATTAAAAATAAGCCCAACTATTCTACTTTCTCGATTTTAGGCGTAGGTGTTCTAGATGGCATTTTATATGCAGTTGGTGGACACGATGGACCTCTGGTTCGAAAATCTGTCGAGGCCTATGACCCGTCAAAATCAAAGTGGATGCCAGTCAGTGATATGGCTTTGTGTAGGCGCAATGCTGGCGTAGTAGCCATGAATGGGTTGTTGTATGTCGTAGGTGGCGATGATGGATCGTGTAACCTATCGTCGGTAAGTCGTTCTTGTTTTCATCTAAATTGACACTTGAAAAATAGTACTTTCTAAGCTACTTTTCACAAAATGCTAGACATTTTTGCATCAATCTGATCTAATGTCTTAACCGCGTATGTCAAAAATAGTTAAACCAATAATAATTCATGTACAGGAGCGGACAAAAGTTTTTAAACAAATATTAACAGTACTATGAACTACTTCATATACCTAAATTAAAATTGTGAAGGGACAGATAATATAAATAATAAAGTCTACCTTTATCTCCCGTACTAATACAAGGTTTATCTTACCAATATTCAAATCCTCTTTAAATAAAAACACGCGTTTTTCAAATCCCACAGTTTTTGTAACGGCAAAAGTATGGAAACATTTCAGTTTTGCCGTATTTATTCATAAATATTAACATCAGTGAGAATGGCAAACGAATTTTCAAAAGATCTAAGGGACAAAGTAATTGAATTATTTAGAAGTGGTGTCAGAAATGTTGACATTTCTCAAAGATTAAGAATGAACAAAGGACGATTTTGAAAATTATTAGTAAATATCAAGAATACGGATCAACAGCCACGCAGCCTAGGTGCGCAAGACCGAAAAAAACGATTATATTTTGGAGCGCTACATTAAACGTTTGTCCCATGAAGATCCTCGATTGCCAGCCACACAGATTTTCAAAATAATCGTAGAAGGGTGCCGAGTATCTTTCTTTCAGAACAGTGCAGATACGCTTGGTGGATTTTGGGTTTTTTGGTAGGCGTCCAGTGCAAAAGCCTCTCATATGATGAAAGCAAATTTAACTTGTTTGGATCTGACGGTACGGCATATTTATGTGAAACATCCAATACGAAAAAGATTCGACAAAAAGTATCAGTCGCCAACGGTTAAGCACGGTGGAGGCAACATCATGGTTTTGAGCTGTTTTTCTAGTTCTGGAACGGGTCCAATTGTTAAAATTGTTGGGAAAATGGATAAAAAACTTTACAGATATTCTTAGTGAACACATGCTCCCTTTTGCTGAAGAAGAAATGCCGTTACGATGGACATTCATGCAAGATAATGACCGCAAGCATACCTCCAAAATTCTAAACCCTATAGAACATCTCTGGGAGCATGTTCCAAGACTACTGACAAGAAAAAACTTTCAAAAATAGGAACGACTTGTTTGATTATGTAAAGATTACTAAGAATGCTTCCAACTTTTGTCCGCTACTGTATTTTTGCATTAATCTGATCTAATGTCTTGACTGCATATGTCAAAAATAGTTAAACCAGTAATAATTCATGTATCACTTTGTCTAGGTGGAAATGTATAATCCCAAAACTGATACCTGGAGTATGCTGCCCAGCTGCATGGGTATTGGTCGAAGCTATGCTGGCGTAGCTATAATTGATAAACCAATATGAAGGTCACCTTCTGCTGGCAACGGGATCGCAACATCTAACGGAAGGTCAGGATTTCACAATTTTATAAGTATTCACAAAGAATTTGGAACATTGCAATCGTTAGGGTATTCAGTATTCCTATCTTGCACTGCTTTCTTTCTATTTCCACTTGAAGACCCCTGACTGTGTATTTCTGATGATAGAATCACATTTTCTTTGAAATCAAAGGTCCAACGGACCCTAATTTTGATTGAAAGGATTTGTAGTTGTCGGCAGAATGGTTGGAGATTTTTTTTTTCAGATATGCTAATGTGGAGGACACGCCATCTTGCTCTTTGTCTAGTCTAGATTTTGGCGGTGCATCTGCTACACAATCTCAGTCCCAACCGTTAGTTGAAAACATCTATGAAGCTATTTGCGGCGATCCTGTTGTCAGCCTTCATTCCCCAGAAGGTACAGCACCCACGCTTTCGTCTACAGGTGACAATCTTTTCTAAATATCAAATATGTTTTTCGAATGAACGGATCATATACCTTTAAATTCTCGCAAAAACTGTTTATTTGCCCAGTAGTCTTTGATAACATTATAGTAGTGGAGCCCAAGAGGCTAACTTGCTCGAGCGTCATAGGGACCTATTGTGTCTTGAAGACTAGATCGCAGAAAGAAAAAAAAAGGTTATATGATTCCTACCAATTTTAGTGGTGGGGAAGGGAGGCATGTACAGGTTGTCAAAAATGTAAAAAAATAGTTACATAGAAATACTCGAGTGCGTCAGATATTGATATTGTTTATTCCATATGCGCCACCTGTCAGTGTTGCTGGAGGTACTTCTATGATAATATGCTGGTTTGTACTGGATGGACCATTAATAATGGATGCCTGCTATCGGCTAAACATTTTTATAACAAAAGTGGGCAGCATGGTGGAAATTATTTTCAGCTTCCTAAAGTGGCCGCTAAGAAGCGTAACTCTAATTTCAATATCATAAATTTAGTTTTTCGAATACTTCAAATAGTATTATTTTTCATTATTCAGAAAGTGCATGGAAAGTCCTACATGCTAGTGAAAGCCGCATGTCGTTATGATCATACATTTGTTTGTTTGAGATTTATTTATAATGATTACTACAATTACATTCTTCTAAAAAACTAAACAATTACATAACATACAGATATTTATAAGAAAACAAAATCTGCATGTCTAAGATTTTTCACTGTCCATGCAATATTCTTTTAATTTTCTTTTAAACATCTTTAAATTACAAGTAGACTTTATATCATTATTTAGTTTATTAAATTTAAGTCCTCTTTTCTGAAATATTGATTTGCTACTTATATTAATATTGCAATTTTGTAAATGAAAATCTATATTTCCTCTTGTATAATAATTTGTTGTAATGATTATTCAATTCTATGTACTGTTCTAAATGTTGTGGCAAAAGATGGTTTTATTTTAAATATAAAAACAAGAACCAAATATATGAAACTGTTTATATTCAACCACTGCAATTCTTGTAACATAGATTTTATTTTGGTGCACTTATTTTTATTCAATATTATTCTCATAGCTTTATTTTGCAGTACTTGTAATTTTTGAGAATTCAGCTTTATTGGCAGTGAACTAGATAGTTGAACAATATAGTAAATGCGGTAGAATAATAATTGTATTATAAACTATTTTCTTGGAATATGTACCAAGTCTATGAGAAGCCCTATAAAAGTAATTTGTTTTTCTGGCAATTTTTGAAATAATGTAGTGATCATTAAAACTTTAGTTTACTATCAATATATATATACCTAAATAATTAATTGATTCAACATTTTCAATTATTTCACCATTTAGTGTTAATATTTTCATGTAATTTCCTATTAGCATACGTTTTGTTTTAGAAGTATTCGATTTTAGTTTATTTACATTTAACCAATTTAGGATTTTTGCCAAGTCAGAATTTAGCAATTTTTAAAGCAGTGTATATTTTCGTCTGATAGGTATATTAATGTATCATCTGCAAATATCTGAATTTTACAATAATCTAAAATATTACAAATGTCATTAATGTATGAAATTAGTAGTGGACCTAGTTTACTACTTTGTGGTATACCAACAGAAATATTTTTTGAGCTTGACAATGTAGATCCAATTTTGGTTCTTGGACTTCTGTCAATTAAATAGTTTTGTAGATTATTATATGATTTGTAAATGAAATAAACGATTCAGGTAATTTTCAGCAACAAATAGAATCGGAGCTTTATTTAGATGTCGCAGCAAATAAGTACTGTTTATGAATGCACTTTTAAACGAATTATATTTTCAATGTTTGCCAGGCCAGACCAAAGATGAAATAATTGTAATTGTTAAATGTTTAAAAAATAAAAAGAGTTGTGGTGAAGATGGGATATCCAGCATAATCATACAAAATTACATTGATTACATTGTAGATCCATTGGTATTTATTATCAACAATTCATTGAAATATGGTATTTATCGTGATCATTTAAAACAGCACGTGTCATTCCAATTTACAAAAATAAAGGCGATTTCTCATCTTTTAATGGTTTCAGACGCATGAGCTTGGTATCAGATTTTTCAAAATTATTTGAGATGGTTATAACAGAATATTGAATTTTTCAACTTCAAATATTTTGATTAATAATACTCAACATGGTAATATTAAAGGAAAATCAACTCTTACAGCTGCTTATAAGTTCGTTCAGAATATTATAGTAGACCTGGACAACAGTAAGCAAAAATTAGAAAGATATGGCATTAGAGGTCCAGCACTTTCTTGGATGAATCATACCTCAGCAATCGTAAGCAAAAAGTAAAACTATCAGGACATAATGGAACAGCTATTTAGAATGAACTTAATGTTAAAATAGAAGTGCTTCAGGGCAGTATGTTGGGTCTCGCATAGTTTGTATTTTTTTTAAATGACGACACCTGTGGCAAACCTGATCTATGCAAAATCGTGAAGTATGGAGATGACACAAATTTGCTACAGATCCAGAGAATGCATGTGATGATGATATAATATCGACAATGTACAAACCTGGTTTTTATTAGGATAATTCTTAATAAAACTAAGTCTTGTGCTCACTGTAGAGCAAATTTTCAAAATTCAATTTGTCTTAATGATATAATTACAGAGTCTGGCAAAACTAGATTTCTTGGTCTTGAATTAGATAGTTACATCAGGTGGAAAACCATATAAGTTCTTTAAGAAATAGGTGCGCTCAATAAAGTATGTTATTCTATAAGAATTATTGCAAAATTTTTGGATATAGAAAATCATTGAAAGGTGTTTATCACTCAAATTTCACTCATATAGTTAGAAAAACAGACTTTTCGGTATGTAATTTACCCACCTTATCTTGGTCTGATGCTTATGAATATTTCTAATCATCGATTTTTTTTACTATTCTGATTGGTAGCCCTAGACGTATCCTCCTTTATAAAGTGGAGGTACTTAGGACGCTTATTTTAATTTGCCGCACCAGAGTAAATCCCGATTAAATCAAGTATACTTTCAAATAGAATATAGGATCGTTTAATCTTTATTCGACATACCTTTTGATAATGGTATGATTCAACAGACCTTTGCTGAGGTCTGTGAAGGTATAATTTTGAATTACACTTCAGCAACTTCATGTTTTTATCTAGATCTGGTTGATTTCGCCTATCAAATCTTTGTTCATACAATTTTTTTTTTGGTAGGAGAAGAGAATATTTACGAAACAATAGAAGAAGTTAGAGAACGAGTCAAAGAAATGGAAGGTCAAGGTAGTATGGAGTTTGATCCAGATAGACCAAGCTGTAGCAATGCTGGATATGGAAGAGTAGGAACAGTCTATGGAAGAATAGACGTTATTGGCCATGGCATTGGTAAGATTTTTCTAATAGCGCCCTAAAAAAGTAACGGGTGTGCTGCTGTAAATTAAACACCTCTAACTTTATTATATGACCTAGAATAGTTAGTCTAATATAAAGTTTTTCATGCCTTATGTTTTTTTTTTTATTACCGGGTGTCTCAGAAAAGTGCTATCGAATAAAGTTGTATTTTTTCTGAATGTGAAAATGATAAAAAAGTCTCGAATTGTAATTGCCTGTTTGATTGACTTGATTCGTTTAATTTCTCTGTTATATGTACATGTTCGTAGCTAACTTTTTGTCAGAGGGGCTACTTGGGCCGAACCCGAATCCTTTATGACTAATGGCAGTGTTGCGTGGGAAGTGCAGAGTCAACCTACTTGATGCCATTTTTTCACCGCCACATTACCTTATATTAGTTTTGTCATTACAATTGTAGTTGTTCCTAACTTTCAAAGCATTCTGTGTAACATCAGCGTCTCAAAAATCGGTTGATAAACACTTGTATTTTTGTCGAAGGTCGAATCGAACGTCACTTGTCATCATCGTGCGGCTCTATAAACAGTAACCATTACAATGCAGTAGTGGAAGGCCCTTCCTCTTCGTCTTCCGCTTATGGTTATCACCATGTCAGAGATGCTTCTGGACGTATTAGCAGAGTTTCTGTTCAGTGGCTATTGGCAAATAAATGGCTACCACTATGGATAGCTAATACGGAGACAGGAAGAGACTACAGGTATGATACAATCTGCTATCAGAAAATTATCAAATTCATCATTCGTATACAGGGACCGTCATAAAGAACGCATGTTTTTCGAATGGGTACTACATCGAGTGGGATGGTCCCGTGTCGGTGGAGAAGGGCGTGTTGGATAGCGGGAGAAGTGTCGGTTCAGTTGGCAAGATGGTTTGGAGCGTTGAGCATCGTGTGTTCACTGTACGTCAATACTTTCAAAATTCATTTTGAGATGGGTCAAAGCATTCAACACAACAAGTAATGTGATGAAGAAAAAACCGCCAGGGCTAAACCGTTCTGTTAGAACCCCCGAAAACGTAGACAGAGTGAGAGTTGACACGCTGCAAAGCCCGAATCGTTCCGTCCGTTTGCGTGCCAGTTCCCTAGGGATCTACGCGTCCTCTGTACGTCGCATCT